TGCTGGGTGGACCATGAGAAGCCACGTCCCAGGACAGGCTCTGCCTCTGGATCCAGTGTGGGTCTCTTCAGTTTCTGAAGACTCATCAAGCTGCCAACTCACGCGCTRTCTGTCTGTGACAGTGCTCCAGTCAGAGGTGCCGGAGATCAGGAAGCCCGCCTCTCTGTGCCCCACACTGGCTTTGGGCAGAGCTCTGCGTTGGCATGGCTGTGTGGGAAAGGGACTCCAGCAGCCACATCAAGTCTTCCACTCTCCCTGTGGTCACGGCCGTGGTGCAGTCCTTTTCCAGACCCTGGGGGGGGGGGAAGGAACCCGCTAAATCCGGCCAAGGCTCCTGAGACCGATGGCTCTGGCCAGGGACAGAGGAGGCCAGGATCCCTCCTGGGCTGTGACTAGGACTTGGAAGCACAACACAGGTCGACGGCACCTTACAGAGGGCTGTGTATCTCAGCAGAAGTCCTCCATGATGGCTCACTGCGAGATTCTCACTCACCGACCGAACCACTGCATTTCGCCCAGGGACCCGCAGGTAGTTGACCCAGCACCTGGCGCGTCAGGTTCCACCTGTCCTCGGGGACAGGGCCTTGCTCTGAGATACCGCACTGCTTTGGCTCCCTGGGGCCTGGGAACACATGAGGAGCACATGGGCCGGGGGAAATCGGTAGCAGTGGCCCCTCAGTGTACCTGTGGCCTACCTCTCATCCCTGCTGACCTTGGAAAGCCTTGGTTTGCTCATGTGACAGTCACAATACCACTGCATGGGAGACAGCAATGTGTGGGCTTCTGGGACTCACAGCTAYGGCTCAAGCCCTACTCAGGAGACCCTGGCTGAGCGAGGCAGCCCCGATGAGCATTCTCGCCTTGCAGGACCAGCATGGGGCACTTCTCCCTGGTTTGGTCTGCCCTGACCCTGGTCAGCACTGGGTGCTCCTGTTGACAGGCACTTTGCACATGGACCTCCACTGCCTGGGCTTTATTTCCTCATCAGCACCAGGGGTAGGGTGGCACCTTCTTGCCTGTTACTGTGAAGAATAAGTAAGCTAATGTGATGTTCTTCAAACCCTAATGTCCACCAATGAGTTCCACCCCTATCCCTAGGGATCTCGTTCACTCAGGAAGTTGAGGTTCTGCACTTCTAAGTCTCTGACKATGCCAGTACTCTTGTCCAGAGACCTAACTCGAGGAGCAGGGAGATAAAAAGCACCTGGCACATAACAGATGATCAGAAATCACTGGTAATCATTATTCTCAATTATCGTCATCAAATTCATATGTGAGTCTCCCCCATTTGAGGTTTAATCACCACACAACAATGARATGTTATTAAATTAGAGGGGCTGACTTTACATTAGACTTGACTTCAGCCATTGACTTGGCCCAGTAATTGACTCTGCCCATAGTATGATTGAGATATATATTTCCACAGTTTTAAAAACCAGAGAGAATGATCTGGAAATCTTCTTGAATTTGTGGCATTTAATTCTTTTGCCCTTGTAGTAGATAGAGAAGCTCTGATTAGTTGAATTGCAGGAAGTATCCTTAGCCTCACACAGTAAGATGCATTATTGCCAAGAGTGCTACTCACCAGCCTCATCCAGTAACAAAATATTGTGCCTTGTCTGTTACCAGTTCTATGTGTAGACCAAATTTYCTGAGAATGGTTGTCATGCTTGGAAATGAAGAAGACATTTCTCCATTTTTTATCCATATGATATAGTGTTTGTGCTGTTTAAATTTCACATAAGCCGTATGTTTGACATTTTTTATTTTAAAATTTAAAAAAATATATATTATTATTTCAGATCTTTGACTACTTTTGACTTTCTGCAAACTTAAGCATCTTTGTAAAATAGAGGACATTTCATTAGAGGCCAAGAGCTTCCTTGGACATTCTTACACATGGTGAAGCACACAGGGACATTGTTTTTCCCAGGGTCTGATGATTCTTTGGCAGTAAATTGTGCATTCAGGTATATAGTTTCTTCATTGTGCTGGGAGTTCAACTCTTCTGGGTCTTTGACATTTTGGTTTAATATATGAAAGAGGTAATGTAATTCCACAAGTAGAATCAACTCAGAGTGGATATAATGTAGAATAATGTAAAAGTCATATTTTGGGTATATTTTTTCCCAACCACAGACCCCGATGCACACAGGTCTGGAGTCATCGTCTGAAGACTTCTGAGAACCGAGATGCCAACAGGGGTCCTCGGGGGGGGAGCCTCAGCTCACGTCAGAAGCCGTCTTCACCTGTGGACTTCCGCTGAGAACAAGAAGGGGAAGAGATCCCCTCCACGAAGACGTGTCAGGCCGTCTTCCCCAGCTCCGTCTCAGAGTGGAGGACACAAGGCCATCCCAGCGGCTCTGGTCCAGAGGCCCRACTTCCAGTCAGTGCTCCTGGGTGGTATTCCACACGAGCCAGGAGGATCAAAGGCACACTGGATGTTGGAGACGGGGAGGTTCCCCATGGATGGGGAAGTCTTTGATGTCCCCTGGAAACAGGAAAGCGCCAGTTGTGGTGAGCACAGGAGTCAGAGGCTGTGTGTCCACTTCTCCAGGGACTCCCCYGCTCTGTCCACACCTAGGACCACCTTTGAGAGTCACGCTGTCTTTGAGGCTGGCTGGCAGTGGGAACTGGACTTGGTCCCAAGCAGCTGTGTTCTGAATCACCTATGTCCCCGGCTCATGTCTGCCTTTCCGTCTCATGTGGAATTGTGTGCTCGGCTCCCGTCCCCATCCTTGGAAGACGCAGCTGCCTGCAGAGAAAAATTGGTTCCAGAGGACAGAGCTGTGAGGTCATAATGGTTGAAACCATGTGCTCTTTAGGCCTTTGCCGTCTGTGCTGGTGTGAAACACACACGWGCACACACACACTGTGATGGGGGAGTGACCCAGAAAACACACACTGAGCTGCCCTTTTATTTAAATAGTAAATCATTGATATTAACTCTTGGACTTGGATAGACCTACTTCTATTTATAGGAGCTGGAATTTGAGAGAAAAAAGCCCTTCTTCTTAGGATCAGGGTCCACATTTCCCCTCAGCTCCTCTGCTGGGAGCTGGCCAGGAGACAGGMCAAGCTCGCCGCCGCCTTGCCCTGGGGCCTGATGTCCGTCTCTGCCCTGAGGACCACGGAAGGTGTTGCCCTGCCAAGGTCTTGGGAATGAGCTCTGGACTGCATCCCTCATCACAGCCACGGCCAGAGGCCCCCAGAGCTCTCGCCGCAAGCCAAACCCAAGCTGGGCAGCTGGGGAGCTGCGCCCATGTCACAGGGAGGTGGCCTGCCTGGATCTGGCTTCCCSCGAGAGCTCCGGCTCTACCCCAGGCTAGAAACCTCACGGCAGGGAGCCCTGGAGATGGAGCTCTCGCCAGGCTGGCTTTCTGTGTCCATGCGCTTCCATCTCTTGCTGGGATTTGAAATCTAGACATTGGGAGAGGACAGGAGATGGAGGCTGTGCCTGGAGGGAGAGAGGGGAACCCGGAGCCCCAGGGCAGAGGTGCTGCTCTCTGCCTGTCCCCGCACCCGTGGCAGCCTTCACACTGGGGTCCCAGGGCAGGGGACTGTCAGCTCACTTGACAGGTGGGGGCGTCCTCTCCTGAGCTGAGAGCCTGGGAACTGCCCTTGCTGGACCTGCTGGTCCCTCGTAGGACCGAGAGCAGAGCAGCCATCTTCCCAGGCTTGGCTCTGAAAGGCCTGGTCTCKCCTGGCCAGTCTCCTGCTCTCCTCTCTCACCGCTCCTCTGACTTGGTCCCCCAACTTCCCCTTGAGGCCTGGTCTTCACGTTTTATTACTGTTTTGGACTTKTCCCTGAAGGCAAGTCACTAGACAGATGCTCTTTTGTGGACTGGTGGGTCCCGTGGCTGGCCCGTGGCCCCTCAGCTCTGGATGCTGCTCAGGGGCTTGGATGTGTGAGGACAAGGAGCAGTGACCCCGGACCACAGTGTCTTCATTTCATGGTGGCAGCATCTGGCACGTCCAGCCTCGCTCCTGGTGAGACAGTGGGGAGTGGCGACAAGGAGGTCTGTCCTGTTCCTAGGGGCTCTCCCGCTCAGTGGCACTCCCACAGGCTGCTGCTCCCTGTTCTGCTGGGGGGCACCCCTCCCACCCCCGCCTGGTGGTTTAGTGAGTGACCTCACTGCTGGGTTCTCAGGCTCTGGAACCTGCACCCACACTTGTCCCGCCCTTCACTGTGGGATGGTCCCATGGGAGGCACAGGACCAGGGGCCTCGGTGCCCCTGGAACTCCTCAGAGTTCCAGTAATAGAGTCCCCATCCTGTCGTAAGATGTGCTCTGCGATGGCGATGGTTCTTTCTGAAAAGGAGGACATGAGACTCCATAGGGACACAGGACGGGGTGGCTTCCCACCTTCCTGCCGCCGGCTAATGACTTTGTCCTTGCTGCTTTGGTGTGGCACTGAAATGGCACCTTCTGGTGGAACTTTAAGATAAARTGTCATTCTCACATGGAAAGAAAGTAACAAGGGAGATGTTTCTTTGTGATAGTTAAAGAGAGGTTTACCAGACCTTGGGAACACTGGGAGGTGGTGAAACAATGGCATGTGGCCCTCAGACGTGTCAAAGGATCCAGGTGAGGGCCGAGGGCATGCTGCCCGGGCTCTGTTCCGACTTTGTTTGGGGGTTCCTGCCTGTGCAAGCTGCATTGTGTGGTGGACGGCTTGTTTTTTCCTTTTCTGAAAACTTCTGTAAGAACATAAAAACCTAAAGAAACGTAGCCAGCACGCGGGACTTTACCCGCCAGGACTGGTCTGTACAAGGCTTTGTGATGCAGAGAATGGAGCTTCCCTTTGTGACCGCCTGGCGTTCCAGCGGTGTTCCAGYGTGTGCCAGCCGGGGTGGAGTGACACAGTCATTGTCAGGCACACTGCCACCGTCTTCCTGAAGTGACAGTGCCTGTCATGGTGGGACGAGCAGTGTCCTCTGTGTGGCCTCTGCTGCCCCATCCAGCACACCCAGCCCACTCGGCCCCGGGGCCCAGCAGGCATGCGCCCTGCCCTGGGGAAGCCCTCCACTGCCTCGGGGAGGGCCATCGCTGCCCATGAGTGGACAGACTCCTTCCCTGTGGTCATAATAGTGCGTGAGCTTCCTCACCCTGCAGTGCCAGAGAAGCAGCAGGACCGTGAGCAGTTTCCCCTCTAAGGAAGAAAACACCAGCCCCCCTTCGTAAAAGGCAAGGGGCTTGCTCTAGATGACTTCAGAGGGCGTGGTAACTGTCGACCCGGTGCCGGGCTCAAAGGAAAGGAAGAGGAGACAGAGGCGCATTCCTAGAAATGAGAATGAGCCCTGTACGGCCCTTACAGTAAGTGGTGCTGCTCTGGGGGTGTGTGGCCCTGGAGGCTGAGAACTTTSCGCTCTGTGGGCAGGTGGACTTCCTGGAGCACCCGTGGAGCCTCGAGAGGTGCTGGCCCCGGTTTCCATTACAGCCTCAGAGGGAATCCTCTGCGGTGTTCACGCAGGCTGGGGGCCTTTCATCTGTAGGTCGTGTTTGTACCCGAGAGGTGGATATTAATGACCTCTTGGCRGCAGAATGACTTTCTTAAGGAGGGGGTTTCCCTGTGTAGGGGTGGCTTAACCTTTCAAGATACATGCTTCTACTTAACCCACTTGGTTACTGTTTGATTCAGAGTCCAACAGACCAAGTCTCGGGGCTGGACCCCAAGGTGCGTGCCCTAGAGCTGAGAGGGGCTCTCGGGTGCACACGGTGAGTAACCCAGCRCCTGGACTTTCATTTTCCTGCTCAGCAGAGCTCGCGGTAACTGCACTCCTTAGATGCCTCGGGTTTTCCTCCTAAAGAGCAGGTACAATGGATGACGCGCCTGGGAGCATTAGCAGTTAAGGTAAGGGTCTGTGCTCGGCGTGGGAGACCCTAAGGGAACCAGTAAAGTCTTTACTTCAGAGTCCTCACCAGTTGGCTCTCAGATAAGCTGCTGACCATATGACTGCTATCCTCCTGGCTTCATTGTTTCTAGAAGTTCTCTAAGGAATGGCTGACTCAGGCAGTCACGGGGATGGCGCTGTGGTCCTGCCATCTTCAGACAGCACAGGACTCCAGCCGTGATTCTGTCGGGACAGGCCAGCATCCCCTGGGGCTCCAAGGGAGCACTCTGTTCTGTATTCTTCAAGGTGCCGTGTACTCGTGTCCCTGGGGAGCATGACAGCACTTTAAACAATGCATTTCTAAATAGAAAGTTACTGGAGTGTTTTATTCAAAGTAGTCATTTTTTCCCAAAGGAGAATGGAAAATAAACTTCCTAGGAGTAGCTTAAGTGTCAACAGCCAAATCGTCTCCCAAGGAAGGTGATTTTAACAGCCAGCAATGGACATGAGTAGGTTGTGTGTATCCGGCTCGGGAACACTGGGGTGACGAGGACGATGGGGATGACGAGGACGATGGGGATGACGAGGACGATGGGGATGACGAGGATGACAGGGATGACAGGGATGACGGGGATGACATGACCCCAACCTACAGCACTGCCCCCGGGCCTGGGGTCCCTGCTGTGAGAGGCTGAGGGTGCTTCCACAGAGTCCCCACTGCGAGCGGCCTGCAGGGCTACACCCAAAGGGCAGGAGCAGCTCTTTGGAGTGGATCTGTGTTAAGAAACAATTTTCGGGGAGGGGGTCTCCTCAATTTCTTGAGGCCATTTAAAAAAAAAATCAGAATTACAATTTTATAATCCAGAAAATTGAAAAAAGAAATCCAACCCCTCATTCCCCTTGTCCCCGTTGCGGTTCCCGTGGGTGCTGTCTGCTTCCCTCACTGGGTGCTGTGCCTTCCACTGGGGCGGGGGTGGGGTCCTGCTCTCCCGCTCCACTCACTACGCCTCTCTACAGTGTGTCATGGCTTTGAACATGAGAAAYTGAGTGTGAGACCAGTCGCTCCTATTAAGGAGTCTGAGACCYGGAGCGGCCACAGCGACAGGCGTGGGTCCCACTGAACACGCGGGTCCTCGGCTCCTCTGAAGACCTGTGGCTGTGGGTCCCGGCAGCGCAGGTGGGGTGAGCATGGGAAGGGGCAAGGGTCCGCGCCCAGGAGACCCGTGGCCTCACCGTCTGYGGCTTTTACCACCTGCTGCCGAGGCTTGGCTCCCGGGCTCTGTGCCTGTCGACTTCTAAGAGTCCTTCCTCGCTGAGATCAGGCCAGGAGGGGTGCTCAGGGGAGAGCCCGTGGGCCGGTTCTCCCGCATGGTCGGATGTTTGGGATTGTGAAAGCTGGGGTCCTCCAGTGAGTTTCACTGGTGGTTATTCATATGTAACRTGGGAAAGTGAYGTCCGAGTCATTCCACTGCCTGTCGATCATTAGAGAAAATGAGATCCACATCTTTTGGTTTTGAATTCAATCATGCTTCTAATACACATGTTTAAAAGGTTGAATTTGTAATTTGGGGAACTTCAATGAAATTCCTCGGTAAAGGTCCACAATGTGAGAATATTTCCCAGAAAAGAACTGGATATAGACCCAGAATAAATGYCTTTCTAAATGCAGAATGAGAGATCCTTCCAAGGACAAGAAGAGCCTCTTCCCCAGGTAGAAATTGGTCCTGGGTGACATTTCACCAAGCTCTAGGACATAGGCATCAATGGTCCTGGGGTGACCAATTTTCATAGCACATAAATATCAGAGTGACTCTGGTCATCATAATGTCCACTGCTTCCCATTTCAGACATGGTGATAGAGACCGTATCCAGAGGCACACAGGTTTGATGATATCCCTGGTGACAGACAGAAGCTTGGTCTCCTGGTCCCTGATTCAGGAACATTTCCAACTCCAAAGCCCAGAGGTCAATTGAGCACAAAGAAGAAATGCAGGTGCCTGATGGGCTTGAGCTACAGAGAATATGGGCCCAAAACTTCATTGTTGCAAGGAAAACAAAGTCTTGGAAGGAAATAGGTGTCAAAAGTCCCCTGATTTGACACCTTTCTGAGAAATATGAAATGGAAAAAAAACCTATAACTCTTTTGGGTATTTCTTTTTATTTGGCCCTTTTCAATTTCCTCTGAGCCGTGACTGTAAGTGAAAGCCGTGTGAGCTATTCCTCCCAGCTCCTTCCCCGCCGCGGTCCAAGGGGCTCAGTGCCGACCAGGAACGGCCCTCCTACCCTCTGGAGGCAGTCAGGGGAGGAGAATAAGGACCCCAGCTCTTCGGTGACTGGCGCATCCTGTTGAATTGCAGTCGCCTTGTTTTGCGTAGGAATTATCAGAAAGGCTTCAAGGGTGTCCCAGCTTTGTACCTGCAAACTTGGGTTAGTGTCTTGGTCACCTGAGGTGTCCATCACCCTGTTTCTAGGTGGATTCCCCTTCTTTTATTAGGGATGTGATGACAGATACGGAGCTCTAGGAATGAAGCTTCTTGGCATGCAAACTGGCCACTTCATGAATAAGGAGTGGCTAAAGGTATTATTAGGAAAATGGGTGGGAGATTTTGTCCGTTTCTTTATTGCCTATAATAACAAGGATTTTTAAAGGATCATAAAATGTTATTATTTGCATATTGGCAGCAAATGGGCTTTGAAAATCCCCAAAAGCCATGAAAGTTACTAAAAGTAAACTAAATGCCAAAAGGATTGTCTTATTTCCTCACAGTATTTGTTAAAAATGGATTTTAATGCTTTCAAGAGAGACGCTCACTGTCTGGGTGCCACAGGCCACTCCCCCCTGCTGCCAGCAGCTGCTGGGCTGTGGCTCTGCGGCCTGGTCCCTCCTGCCTGGGCTGCTCTCCCTCAGCCTCCCTGGGYGCTCTGTCCCCTGCACTGCACAGCAGGCGGGACTCCAGGGGCTGGGCTCAGGGCTCAGGTCCTGCTCTGGTTCTGCTTTTAAAAGTCGAGTGGCACATTTACCAGCTCTGGGTTTGGTTGTTCTCCCAACCCACTTTAAATTCACTTTTTTTGGTAATTACATAATTTAAATGGACTCCATGTAAACTGATGGTGTATGGGTACAAAGAGGTGAAAGAATTATTGTTTCTACACGACCTGATTGGAATACCTGGGAGATATCCAATAAAGGTGGTTACCAAATTTAAGTTGCACGTGGGTGAGACAAATACAGAGGTTTGGAAAATCGCCTTGAGCATCTAAAAGCATCTTGTTTTCCACCTGCTTTCTTTCTTTCTATCTTTCTTTTTTTTTTAAAGAGAGAGAGAAAGAGAATTTTAATATTTATATTTTAGTTTCCGGTGGACACAACATCTTTGTTGGTATGTGGTGCTGAGGATCGAACCTGTGCCGCACGCATGCCACACTTGCCTTGTTTCTTATAGTACTTGTTCCTTTGTAAAGAAACCAAAATTAGAGGGGCTGGGGATGTGGCTCAAGCAGTAGTGCGCTTGCCTGACRTKCGTGCGGCCCGGGTTCGAGTCTCAGCACCACATACAAACAAAGACGTTGTGTCCACTGAAAAGTAAAAAAATAAATAAGTAAATATATTTTTTTAAAAAAAGAAACCAAAATTAAAGCTGACAGAGGATTCACCATGGGCCAGGAGGCCAGGTGGACAACTGGTAGATGCCCATTGGGAAAAGAGGGCATGTGTATTTCAAATTTCACCAAAGCCATGTGGCACTAATGTATTATTTCTCATGAGTTTCAGTTTTAGGAAAAAAWTTTTTTTTGTACTGGGGATTGAACCCAGGGGTACTTAACCACTGAGCCACATCCCCAGCCCTTTTTATATTGTGTTCAGATACAGGGTCTTGCTGAGTTGCCTAGGGCCTCACTAAGTTGCTGAAGCTGGCTTTGAATTTGTGATCCTCCTGCCTCAGCCTCCCCAGCTGCTAGGATTACAGGCATGCACCACTGTGCCAGCCAACATTTTATTAACTAACTACCAGCAGTTCTCTTATGTGATCAACAAGAAAGCTTTTTGTGTATTCTTAAATACCGAAATATCATTTTCAAAAAATCAGTATCAGGGCTTTGTGTATGTAAGTGTGTGAATGTGAAGGTACATACGTGCATTTTCACATATGCTCTTACAGAATCGTTGTTAGTTATCACACGTGTACACACAGACAACAGGGATGGTGATTTTGATAATGGCTTACCAGTTACCAAGTGCATTCCGTCTGAAATACGTCCGTCTGGTTAACATTTGATTTGAACTGGTGACAGCAGGTACGGGAGTGGGACAGTTCCTGGGTCCGTGTCCTGAGCTCCACCTGGGGTGCCATGGAGGGAAGTGTGTCACAGGATCAACCACCTGTCAGCCTCAGGGCTCCTGCCTGGTGGCCTCACCCCTCGGAGGGGCCTGCACAGGATCCAGTGCCACAACCCGGACGTGGCCAGCGGCGGCGTAGACCACAGGCGCTTGACCATGATGTTTTCAGGGTCTCCAGGGCCGACTCGCAGACTTTGTCTCTGACTGGAAACACTTGTCCCTGTCCTTCAATCTGGTGGTAGAAATCCCAGATTCAAAAAGCTGTCCCCAGGAATGGCAGGCGGCTCTTACCATCTGGTTTACTTCCTAAATAAGTCTGTCCTCTAAAGCTGGGTTGTTCCATCTTCTGTGGATTGTGTAAATTCCTGCTTAAGCAATCAAACTACTTACGATCTTCACTGAAACCCACCCAAGACTCCAAGGCATCTCTTGTTAAGTTAAACAGAAGGTGACAGCTGCTTCTTCAGCACCCCAGGACTTCATTGTGTAAAGAAGCAGTGGACAGGGGAGGGGGACAGAGGAAAGTGGGCAGACAGACAGCCTGTGCCTTTCCCCAGGGGGTGCTGCCGGCCACCCGGGCTCTAACATGAATCTCCTGATTCTCAGAGTGGTGGCAGTTTACCCTTGCCTTCCCAGGAAGACGGAATTATAAAACAACCGAAAATAAAATGTCAGTCCTTTGGTTTTCAAATTTGATTGATATAAAAAGGCAAAAATAAAACAATATAATCCACCAAAATACTTAAAAATAAAACAATATAATCTAAAACTCTATGCTTAGGACGCATTATAGTCAGATGAGACAGGTACGATTATTATCCACATCTCAGAGGGAGCAGCACAGAAGGCCTGCAGTCTCCCCAGTTAGGAGACAGATGGGCCAGGATGGGCCTGGGCAGTCCCACTTCTGAGCCTGTGTTAACTGCGGCCCTGCTTGGCATCTGTAGATGTGCAGAAGAATATGCTTCATAAGCAGTTTATAATCCCATATCTGGGATTTCTACCACCAGATTGAAGGACAGGGGCAAGTGTTTCCAGTCAGAGACAAAGTCTGCGAGTCAGCCCTGGAGACCCTGAAAACATCAGTTCAAAGTGCCTGTGGTCTACACCGCCGTGCTGGCCACGTCCGGGTTGTAGCGTTATTAAGCATTTTCTTTATAAACAGAAGAGGCCAGCCCCACCATTTCACCCCGATCTTTCTTACACCAACTGATGCCGCAGAGCTTGACTTTCTTCCTGGGTTCACCAAACTCTAATCAGATCAGTTTTAAGATGTTTTAAGACATGTGCATGGATTCTGGAAGTCACTTTAGAAGAAGGATCTCAGCATTCCGTGGATGGCAGGTTGTTGGCATAGAGCAGGGCACTGTGGTCATGCCTCCTACAAACGGGGATACACACAGTGGTCCGGAGCTCTGGGAACTGCACACATGAGCATATCTGGGCAAAAGATGGCTTCCCTGAGGCCCTGCAAGGCAGGGGAGGGAGGTGGTGGACATGAGGGCAAAGCAGGCTGGTTGCTGGTGACCTGAAGACTAACAGCTCGGCAGGCAGGCAGTGGGCCCCGACTAAACAGAGGAGCTGACCACCTGAAAGGCAGTCCTTCAGGAGATGAGTGTCCACCTGGAGCAGTGAAGGTCTGGAGGCCAGGCAGCCGCTCCCCCTCCCCGGCGGCTTCTCACCTGTGCTGTGAACGTGCACCACCTCTGTGTCTGGCTGGGTTGCTCCATTTAGGGTCCGTTTAGCAGGTCAAAACGTTGAACTACACTAGAGGAGAGTCACTGGGCCGCTCGGCGCCCCCTGGGCCCAGAGCAATGGAGTCAGCTGTCTGTGGACCAGCACCTCTGAAACCATGAGCCCCAATAGACCTTTCCTCCTGTAAATCACTCTTGTCAGGTGTTTTGGTCACAGCAACCAAAAATTGACAAACAGAGGGTGAGTGCTGGCTCCTAGAGCCAGGTGGCCACGCTGACCCGGGACTCCCTGGCTGCTTGGATCGGGTGCCCTGCTGCAGCCGGTCCCCTGTCCCACGCCAGCCATAGGGGGTCATGGAGTTCCTGAGCTCCCAGGAGGCTGCTTCTGTGCTTCTTGGCTGAGTGAGAGGGCGGGGAGAGAATTCCTCATCTCGTGGCTTAATGTCGCCTTGACTCATAGCTAACAGAGATGGCGTTCAGAGAGGTAGAGAAAACTTGTTAAATTCCACAAGACTTCTAAAAAAAAGAACACGAAGCCCTGGTGTTGAGAAGACCCTGGTCCTCAGGCTCAGCCTGGTTTTATTTATTTGCTTCCATTTGAAAGACAAGGCCTCTGATTGAAGAGTCGTTTTCTGATAATCCCCTTTGCTCTACTGTCAGTTGGAAAAAGCACCCTGTAGGTGGTAGAAATGGAAAGACTCGTGGAGGAAATCGATAACTAATGAATTCTGGCTTCTGGTTACTTCTCAATGATATTTTTGGTTCCTGGATAGAAAAATAAACGTGAAATTCAAAAGGCTACTTAGCTATCAAAAGTCTACTTAGAAAGGGAAATAGAATAGAATAGAGTAGAATAGAGTAGAATAGAATAGAATAGAATAGAATAGAATAGAATAGAGTAGAATAGAATGTGTTAGAATGTTGCTCCCAGACCACATGCACCTGTGTGTTCCCAGTGCCTCAGAAGGTCAACTGTAAAGCTTCCCGTCTGCATAGGTCCTTCCCCATGCCACTTTGTTTGTGACCATCAGAGTTCAAATGATACAATGTTATTCCCTAAGAAATATATTTTTACGAGGTTTCACGTGTGATGTAAAATATATTTCAAGTGAGATGTAAAAATGTTATATGTTACTTTTAAAAATTGGTACTAAAATAGATCTAACTTTATTTCAGACTGAAAATCTCATCTGTGCCATGTCTAATCAGGGGACAGCAGGAAATCGAGCCCCAGTAGTCACAGGGCTGGGCCGGGGGTTTTCCAGGTCCTTTGTCTCCCCTGGGCCCCTGTCTCCTCTCTTGTACAGTGTGGTGCTATGATTCTTGGGTGACTCAGTGAACTAGTTACGGACCCCTCTGACCACTCACCGCTCGTCTACTTTATTAGTTCACGCAGGAGCTCGGCTCCCAGAAGTTGCAGGCAGGCCCTCATGGCAAGGCCCTCTCCACCAGGCGGCGCGAGGAGTCCCTGCCTGCCAGCGCAGGCAGGCACCGCCGGTGGGGTCCTGCACCCTTGGTGGTCCTGTTGCTCTACAGTCCTGGGGGCATCCGCTTTCATGCAGAAACTGGCTACCCTGGTGGTAAACAGATGATTTAAACAACTGTCACAGCTGAGAACAGGATGGAAGGAGAGCCGCCTCCCCCCACCCACCAGCTTGCCGACACCCCGGACGGATCCTTCCTGGAGCATTTTAACAAACGAACTTTTTTTTGGATGTTCTTACAATTCAACAGAAACTCATACAACTCAAACTGGCTGCATGTCTCCCATAGACTCGACCCCTAGATTTTCTAATGGATCACAGCAATTGCACGTTTCCAGATGCACTTAGAATGTGTTGACTGCCTGCAGGAATTGGCTTCTAAAACATATACAAACTTCAAATTCTTCCACCTCAAGATCCCACTGTGAACCCTCTGAGGTACGACGTGACTGTGTAATGCTGGACCACAGTTTTGTACTTAAGCCTCAATTAATATTAAATAGAAAAAAGGGAAATAGAAGACTCTGTGTCTGAGCATGGTTTTCTCCCGGTTTTTCTTTTCTTGGTCACATTCCCAGCTCTCCTGTTATCTTGAACCATGGAGAGGATTGCTAACGCCCCTGGGGGCAAAGCTGGGCTCTGGGTGCAGTTGGTGGTTGGGCACACCTGGTGGTTGGGCACACCTGGTGAGCTCTGCTGGACCGGGCTGCCTCCCCTCAGACGTCGCTCTGACAGCCCTCACAGTTCATGTCCTGCACACTGCGGGCCCAGCTCTCCTCTGGTTGACCTGGTCAATCTCTCCCTGTCACAGACTCTTCCCCAGCTGCAAGACTGTGTTTATTCTCAGTGTTTGGTCCTTGATTGAAACCAGGCAGAAGGCAAATCTGTGGTGGTCCTCTTCAGGAGGAGAATAAAAACATGGCCCTGCATGGAAAGCTCCGAGCAGGTGGCTTGCTCCCCGTGACTGCCCGCGCCTGTCCTGAGGCACGTCTGAGCCTCACGCCCTTGGTGTCGTTTTTCTTTTAGACTCCATGTGGATGGCCTGTAAGCAGAGAAGAGAACCAAGACAAGAAGCTGGTCATGCTCACCCACCAGCCCGAGGATTCTGAGAGGTAATCGTGCGTTTCACTTGGAGGTCATGCGCCCGTAACGCAGTGGTCTAATCAGAACGGCTCTGCTTGCTGACAAAGTTCTGGTTCTCCTAGCACACAGAGGAGGGCCTGGGGAAGTAGCTAGGAGGCAGACGGTGGCCGTTGTTGGACTGTTGGCATGTTTTCTTTCATCGCCATCCAAGGACGAGAAGCATGGTGGGCTGTGCAAGTATCTGATTTTTAAAGTATTTGTCAATTTTCATCGATGAGCTTTGGTACTTGGGGTGATTCCTCTTCAACAGTGTAAATTTCTCCAAGGAAACAACTCTATTCACCAATCAGATGAGGAGTAGCTGTGCCTGTCCTCCTGTTAGCCTGGTCCTTCGCTCAGGTAGAGGATGAAGGTTYCTAAGTGCGCATCAAGCACTGCCTCCCTCGGCCACTCTGCTTGTGCGGGCAGTAGGCAAGCTTGCCCTCGAGCCGCGCCCTGTCGCTGGCCTGGAGAGCTGTCCTCTGCACCTCACTTGGCACCTCTGAGTACCGCAGCTGCCTGCTGAAGGTCGGGGAGGCTGGACCCTCTCCCCATGCACTGGCACTCAGAGGTGCAGAGCAGAGTATGTGCCTAAGCACCAGAGCAGGGAGCCTGCCCTTTCAAGTTAAAAATAGTCCAGGAAATACCAAGACTCCTGTTATTTTTTGGGGGGACAGGGGTAATCAGGAATTGAACCCAGGGGTTCTAAACCACCAAGTCAATCCTCAGCCCTTTTTATTTATTTTTTTAATTTTGAGACCGGGTCTCACTAAGTTGCTTAGGGCCTAGCTAAGTTGCTGAGGCTGGCCTTGAACTTGTGATCCTCCTGCCTCAGCCTCCTGAGCTGGGATTCCTGTCGTGTGACACAGCGTCCAGCAAGACCCCTGTTCTAAGTCAGCCTTTCTCAGACAAGGGTTCTCAGGCTGTGGGCGTAAAGGCACTCTCAGGTCTGGGTCCATGTGAAGGCTCGGGAAAGTGGCCCACTATACTCCAGGAAGAAGGTCCAGACTGTGGGCAAGGCAGCCTGCAGGAATTTTGAACAAAGACTGACAATAGCAACAATGTTTAAATGGGCGGCCAGGGGGTGACCAGGAGCGCCCCTTCCCCCGGGGAACCACTGACATCGGGCACTGCAGCTATGGCCCTAACTGCAGGCATGTCCCTCACCACCTGCTGCTCTTTCCCCTGTGAGGGCACAGCGCACCTGCCCTGCCTGCTTGGCGGGTCTCAGGGAGCAGGGCCAGAGCACGGCTGCGGGACCTGCTGTGAGAGGCAGTGTGAACTACCCCACGGGAGGAGGTGACAGTGAGAGACAGCAGGGACCTCTGAGTCAGGAGGGACAATAAAAGCAAAGGGGGGACAGAAGGAGCAAAGGAGGGAAGAGGGGGGAGGGGGAGGAGGGGGAGGA